TTAAATTTGACACTATTAGTAATAAAGATGAATTTATTAAAAAATTATATGAATCTTGTTTTTATCGTTCTATGTTGGATAATAATTGTTTAGTTGTTTATGCAGAAAATATTATTATTAAAAAAGGTAAAAAAATTATTGGAAACAGTTGTACTCTTATGATTTGTTTAGATAGTTTTATTGTAAAAAAAGGTAATGAAATTGAATTGTCTATTGGGTTCGCTGCTATAGAAAGAGTAAGTGTATTACCATATAACGATTTAACTTCTAAAATTCAAATTTGTTATAAGAATGTAAAAGATCCATTATTAAATAGTATTATTAAAGAATGGTTAATTGAAAAGAAAAATGAACAAATTAGAGAGAAATTAAATTATATGATAGAAAAGTTTAATGAAACAAAAAATCAAATGTAATTGAATTTCTTTTATTGTTTATTTATTATTTCATTTTCTTTTATCTTTAATTTTTTTTTCCCATTAATACATTTTAATTGCAATAATTCTTTCTGGAATAAAATCATAAGTAGATGTTAATGGATGTTTATCTCCATTGTATTCATATGAAAATGGTTCACAAGAGCTTCTTCCTATACCTTTTGTTTTTGCAATTTGTATATCTACCCCTTCACCAAATGTAATTAAAAAATCATTTTCCGCACTATATAAACAATATGATTCACCAATTTTATTTCCTTTAAAAGGAAATTTTAATTTTTGATACCTTTTATTTTTATATAATGAAAAGACAAATGATTTAGGATCATTAATTTCAATATTAACTTCTTTTATTCTGTGAGAAATAAATCCTCCAAAAATGTCTTGATTAGTTGCAATCACTATGATAAATAAATGTGATTTTTTCATGACTTTTCTTGAAAAAGTTTCATTTCCTATTTCAAATCCTTCAACGTCAGAATCAAAAAGTATTTCCATTCGTTTTCTTTCACTCCATTCTTCTAATGTTTTAATGATATCTTTTTGTCTTAATTCTTCAGTTGAATATGGGCAAACAGTTTGTTCTTCTTTATCATATGATTTATTTGTTGAAGTATCTTCACTAAAACTAAGTTTCTTAGAAAATGTTTTACTAATAAAAGGTAATATTGGAATAAATGTATTTGAATTTTCTTTCTTTACTACTTTTTGACAGTGTTGTTCCAAGATATTTTCTATTATCTGAAAAATTACTTTATACTCATTATCCTCTAATGAATTGATTCTTTGTTTTAATTCAGAAAGAATCGTTGAAGATATTTCCATTTTAATTTAAAAAAGTTCTTTTGTGTTTTTTAATATTTTTTTGTTTTTTATATTTCTTAAAAATTGATCTAAAAATAAGTTGAATAATAATATCTTTTTTGTTCTATTTTTTTCGGTTGTTTTGGTTTTGTTATCTGGACTATAAGTTTTTGTTTTGGTTATACTTATTTGAGTTATCCTTGTTGTTGACAAGGTTCTTAGTTTTTGTTTAATTGTTTTTATTTTTAGTTTTTCTGAATGAGTTGACTAATATTAAGAAAAGCATGACCAATCAAATATGTTGCTCTATAATATTGTTCTAATATTAGAAAGAATAAAACTCTCTCAGAGTGTTAATTTGCAAGATATGAAATCTTGTCATTATCATTAAATAAAAAACTAATTAAGCTCTACAAAATTCACATGTTAAGCTAAGAGAATGATTAATAAAATAGAATTATGAAAGTTAATACTAAAGAAATAAGTGAATCAAGTAGAGACAAAAAGAGGCACAAGAAAAAGACAAAGAAAATAAGAAATGAAATATATTTGAATATCAGTTAATTTCTATTATTCATTTTTATCCTTTTTTTCTTCTAAATTACAATAAAAATGATAACTAGTATATATAACTTATATTCATTTTGTTTTCTTTGGAGAATTAAGTTATTAGATTATGTGTTATTAAAAATTATAGACTTAAAAATATCAATAAAGAGTCTTTAAAACAACTAAGATGGGAAACACTAATATACAACACTTTTATGAAACAAAAATCGTTAAAGATATTTCGAATCTTCAAGAAAAATGAAAAAAGTTGAAATTTAAGAACAACAAATAACAAAGAATATAACTTATAAAACCATAGAGAGCCAGCTAAAAGTAACAATGTAGTAGTTAATAATCAATATAAATGATGGATGTGTTTAATTTAATCATTCAATGAATCAAGAAAACAAGATAAACATTATACTGAACATTTTTTGTATCAGAAAAAAAATGTATTATTAAGATTATCAAAATACGGATAATTTTATTAATCATCAGTTGAAAAAATATTATGTAAAAAAGAGAATAGATACTAAAAATAGTAACAGAGCTAATCTGAACATTCATCAAGAATTTCTCCATTCTTAGTTCTATATTACCTAAAATTACTTCAATAAAAGAAATCCATAGAGTCAATAAATTAAAGAAATGGACTAATTTATCATATTTTAGAAGGAGTGTATTTTAGTGTATAGATGAGTTACCAACAAGAGTGATTTTAAGTTCTGTTGATTAAATACTCCATTAACAATTGTTACAACTCCATCAGATGAGTGTTTTAGAGTTTTTAATATATCAACATTACTAAACTCAAA